TCCTTTACATGTCATAACTGTTCTTATTAGCAGCAGTAATGGATTCTGCAGAGCTGCAGGCTGCACTGTGGAGGCGCTCAGCAGTAGTTAGACTCTCAAACAGCTCCTGGTTCGTCTTTATCTGAAACCAAACCTTCAGTTTGAAAGATTTTGTGAAAGTTGAAAAATTGCAGTGTTGTCTTCCAAGTATCACCTCTTTAATCTGAACAAGGTGCATAAATCATCTGGCACTGATGGTTTATTTTGACATTTTGGTGCATCAGCATCCAGATTTTGTATATTTTTGGTGCATTATTATCCAGGTTTTGATGTTTTGGTGCTTTATTATTGAAGTTTCTGACATTTTGGTGCATCAACTTCTAGATTTTGTTAGTTTTGGTGCATCACAATGCAGGTTTCTGGTGATTTTGTCTATCAACAGGTAGGTTATTGGTGTTTTGGTGCATCATCATTTAGATTATTGACACTGTTTTGAATCAATATGAAGAATTTTGTGTGTCGACATCCATGTTTTTGAAGTTTGGGTGCATTAGCATCAAGGTATTGTACATTTTGGGGGTTTAATAACCAGAGTTTTGATGTTTTGGTGAATCAATGTTCAAGTTATTGATGTTTTTGTGCATCAGTATCAAGAGTTTTTGACATTTTGGTGCATCAGCATTCAGGTTTTTTATGTTTTGGTGTTTTAATATCCAGATTTTTTACATTTTTGTACATTGATATTGAGATTTTTGATGTTTTGTGTCAACATTCAGGGTTTTGATGCTTCGGTGCATCAACATGCAGGCTCCATGATCCAGTCATCATAGTTTAAAGGACTGATAAAACACAATTCAGTATATAAAACAGTGTAGTGTTGGAAAAGGTAAAAACATTAGGAAAAGATTTGGTTTTTTTAAATTGTTCAAAGAAAAATCAGAGAAATGCTCCCCAATCAGAGCGTGTTATAATTAGACAGTTAAAATGGATGCAGCGATGAGCTTCATTTGTTCAGGTTCAATAACATCACAACAATTGAATCATTGTTCTGAGGCTTTCATTCAGCCTTTATTAGAGAATTCTGTTTGTTTGATTTCTCAAGGTTGCTCAGTTTGTCCTCACAGCTGTGAGCTGCTACTGTCTGGATCTGGATGTTTTTTAGGTGGAAGTTTAAAAATGAAAAATAGCCTGGAGCTGAAAGGTTTCAGAGGAGGTGTCAGAAACAGGCAGGGCTACAGTGCAGCCTGGAAGACCTGTTTTAGTGCTTTAATATCCGGGTTTTTGATGATTTAGTGCATTAAAATCCAGGTTTTTGATATTTTGGTCCATTTAAGGTCAAGTTTTTGGTGTTTTGGTGCATCAATATCCAGGTTTTAGACATTTTATTGAGTCAGTATTTAGCTTGTTGGTGTTTTCTTGCGTCAGTATCCAGGTTTTGATGTTTTGGTGCATTATTATCCAGGTTTTAGACATTCTGGTATGTTAATATCCAGGTTACTGATACACTAACACACAGGTTATTTTTACTTTGGTGTGTTAAAATCCAGGATTTTAACATTCTGATGTGTTAATATCCAGGTTGTGGATGTTTAAGTCCATTATTATTTGGGTTTTTCATATTTTTGTGCACAACTTTACAGGTTTTTGCGTAATAATATCAAGATTTGTCACATTTTGGTGCACCACTATCTACATTTTGACATTTTGGTGCATTAATATCCAGATTTTTCCCTTCTTGGAGCATTAATAACCATATTCTTGACATTTGTGTGTGTTTTTAATACTTTGTTCTGTTAATATATAGATTATTTATAGTCTGGCGCATTAAACATTGATTTATGTCATGTCAGTGCATTGATATCCAAGTTTTAGTTATTTTGATGCACCAATTTTGTGATTTTTTAAAGCATTTTCATCTGTTAATATCCAGATTTTTCACGTTTTGGTGCATAAGTATTTAGATTTTGACATTTTGGTGGGTTTATTTTCAAGCTTTTAAGATTTTGGTGCGTCTACATCCAGGTTTTTGATTTTTTGGCACTGTCATACACAAGTTATTTACACTTCAGCGAGTTAAAATCCAGGTTTTCCCCACTGAATGTGTTGATATCCAGGTTTTAAATACTTTGCTACATCAATATGCAGGTTTTTTTCCTCACAGGTTTGCACATCTTTACGTTCTTGTTACCTGTTCTGTCCTCCAGAGGGATGAGCTGTATCTGCCTCCATCTGTCAGGCTTTCAGTCATATTGCATCAGGTGGAGTTTGATGACCTGCAGGTTGATCTGATGAACAATCGACCTTCTTCACACACTCTTCATGTTGCCTTTAATAAAAGCCACAGATCAGATATGTTGGCAGCAGCAGGGTGCTCGATGTGAACGATTTGCCACGTTCAGCTTTATAACTGTCCGAACAGACTCCTTATCATGTGCAGACGGACTCCTTAGTGGTTTGTTTTCATTGCAGAGCTTCACTGATTTTGTTTTTGAAGCTTCCTGCTCTGACCTTTGAACAGCTTCTGCCTGCTGCCAACAAACCTGGAGGACAAACCAGTAACAGATATATGAAGACCCAGTTACAACAAAAATGGAAGTTCAGAGGTTGGAGTTAATTTCAGGTGTATTATTATCCAGGTTTATAATGTTTTTGTGCATTAATATCCAGGTTTTGAGTGTTTTAGTGCATATATATCCACACTTTGACGTTTTCACTTCACATTAAAAATAACTCACACCGGTCCTCTCAGACAACCACTCTTCCAGAACATCATCTCAGTCTCGTAACAAATCATCTCTTCCTCGTTTGACAATCCTCAGGACCAGTTGCTAGGCAACCGGGGTGTTTCTAAAAGCAGAGGTATCTCCTCTCTGAGCTGCTGAATGGTGAAGCTTCTTATGTAACGTCTCTATTAATATTCCTGATCCCTGTTTTTATATTGGAGCCAAATCCTGCAGCTGGAGGGGATCCTGAACGCCTCCTTCCTGTTTAACCGCCTCTGAACGCATCACGTGAACCCGTCAATAACTGGCTCACGATCTGTTTGATCAGCAGGACTGAACATCGGGTTGAAGATGATCCTCCGACCAGCTCCGACACTTTGTCCTCAAACCAATGAAACATGTAGTTTGTAGAAGAGTTTCAGTGCTTTCAGCTGAAGTTCAGCGTTTCTTCATTAATCAAACACTGTTTGTTTACCTGCAGCACAAACTGATGTATGAAAGAAAACTTTATCTGAGAACTCCGAACTGTTGGAGGTGAAACTGCCTGAAGAACTGGTTCTGCTCTCCTCCAGTTCAGAGTGTCGCTGCCACCAGCTGGTGGATCCACAAAACACACACACACACCACCAAAAGTATGTTTCAGTTTAAGTGGGTTTACCAACATCAATATAGAAATATAGAATGATTTGTATACATAGGAGGAGATCATTTACAAAAACAGCTAAATTTTTTTTTGTAGATTTTCAGAAAACTTGTTTTTTTGTTGTTTGCTTGAGAAAATATCAACCAAACTGAAGCTGAGTGGATCTGACTCAGTAGAAATGACAAAAATAGAGATAACTTAAGTGTGATTGATATTGTCTCAGGTAGACGATGGAAAAGTGGGTTTTCTGAGGGTTTGTGAAGATCTGTTTTTGCAAATGAACTCTTCATACATTTTAAACACTAATCATATAAAACAAACAAACTAAAGTAGAACACAAAGCAGTAAACATAAAAGATAAATGATGTGTTAAACCGAAGCTTCCTCAGAGGGATCACAGGCTCAAACTGTTTGTATGATTTTAAATTATTCAGCCCAAATTTTAAGAAAATATAAAAACTGTTAATCACAGGTTCCCTCTGTAACCTCTTCTGACAATACAGTGTCACTATTATCCCAACTGATTCATTAATTAGCTAATGAATTAGTTGATTGGCAGAAATGAATCCTCAACAAGTTTGACAACAGATTAATCGTTCTGTCTTGTTTACCTTAAAAATCAGCGACACCACTCTCTGAAATGTGACTATTTCTTTTACAGCTGCTCACAAAATCAGAGCTTCAGGGAGTCGGGATGGTATTTAAGCTGATCGATTATCAAAGGTTATTAAAAGTTTTAATTTGTCAGTGCAACTTTTATGTGGATATCTCCTTTAGCTATGAAGTTATAAGGCCCAGAAGTGTACATACTTCCATCATCTGGGCTTTACCAAATAGTTTGAATGCATCTTAATGTATGTAAACTTCTGACTTTGAAGAAAGTAGTGAAAAATTCTCTCTCGTTATTCTGGCGTTTGGCAAATAGAAATAATGTTGGTAATCCTAACTGACCTAAAACAGGAAAAGTTTAGTCACATTTAATGTCAGATAGTGAGAAAAAAAAAAAGGCTATGTGTCTTTTTATAGGGTGGATGTAAACTTCTGGTTTCGACTGTATATTAAAGTTACTGTAGATTAAGGATCAGCTGGTCAACTATTCTTTTTTTATCAACAAAAATGCTGAATATTTTTTCATTTCAATCTCCTCCAGTGCCACAAATATGCTTTTTAATGCTGTAAATCAGGAGATCAGGAGTTACTAAGGCTGGATTACTAACACCCAGTGTAATTTGATTTATTTATTGAAATCAGAATTTAGATTTTTCTTTTCCTATTTATAACGTTCTAAACACAGAAGAGCTTTGTTAAGATCGTATCAGTACAGCTGACCTTTAATAACCGATCGACTGCTGTAGCATAAATACCATCATGATTCCCTGAAGCTGTGATTTTGTGTGAGCAGCTCTCAAAAATACAAAAAAAAAATGCAACAAATATTCACATTCAAGATGCAGCTGATTTTTGAGGGGACAAAGATTAAATGAGGATTAATTTCTACGAATCTGTTCATTCATTTATCAGTCAGCAGGATAATTCTGAAACCGTAGCATCAATGGGGGTTAAAGAGGAAACCTGTGATGCACATTTTTCAGAATTTGTTGGATTTTACAAGATCTGAATCCTAAAAGAGCAGAAGGAAAAAAACAAGACTGGAATTATTTAAAAACATTTTATTAGTAAGAATCCACATAAAACCAGAGAGGCTGCCTCCAGCCCAGTCTCAGGTGCACCGTCCTGGTCGGACAGGTGCTCTCCACACAGGTGAGGCATCAGGCCTGCAGGTCACCGTGGCGACGCTGCAGCAGCTGGATGTTTGGGCCTCGTCGGGTTCAAACTCGCCGTCGGAGCTGAAAGTCGCTCCTCGATCTGTCGCCAAAGGAGGCCGAGGTCAGTGTCCGGATGATCCGTCCGAGATGCCCTGACATCAAAAACACAACACAGCTGATCAGGAAACATGCTGAAAACTTTACAGGACAAACTGAATCAGCTGCGTCGAGCAGGAATTTATATTTACAGGCTAATTGCAGCATTTTTTGCCTCTTTCTGTTTGTTTTTAGTGTATTTGTGGTTGTTTTTTGTCCCTTTGTGGCTGCTTTGTGTCTATTTGTGGTCATTTTGTGTCATTGTGGTTGTTTTGTGGTGGCTGATTCCAGTATTTTTAGACTTAATCTAAATTATTCTTTGGTCAAAAGTTGTTTTTATTCCACAATTTTGTTTTTTTATCCCTTTCTTTTTGCATAAATTTGACTTTTTATCTCTTTTTTTTTAGCACATATTGTATTCTGTGTGTCTGATTTTTTTTTAATGCATGATTGACAAGTTTTTCATAAATGTCATTCTTTAAGTTTTTCACCACTTTTTCTTCAATTTTCAAAAGCACTAGACGCCACATTCCAAACCGCAGTAAGAAATTCACCGATTTAAAGTGAATGCTGAGTTTTGTTTAACAAAGCACAAAAAATATGACCACCCATAAATATAATAAGACATTCTTAAATTCGGCTACGTATATTATCCAAAAAAATAATATTTAAGTAGAAAATCTGCTTTTGAGTCACAGTCGCTCAGTGGAGTTCTGTGGCGGCCGCGGAGCTTAAATTATAAGATTCCTAAAGGGAGCGCTGAACGTAATGGGCAGGTGTCAAATGTCAGCATAGACCCGCCCACTGGCCGAACGGTCAAAACTTCTGTTTACCAGATTCCGTTCACATTTTTGCCAATTTAACGTTTCATCTAGTTTTATTTAGCGATTGAGTTTATTAATCAACTATCAAACTTTACCTACTAGCATCACAACAGTGTGTGTTTAATTCGGCTCATATTTAAATCGAGATAAGGCTCAACTTTAGCAGAATATTGGGCGGTACCTCAGGGTTCACTCCTTGGCTTTCTTCTCGGTGTTGTGAAGTTTTTCCACAATCTTCCGCTCGTGTCCTCCGGGGTTGGGTCTGTTGGTGTTCTCACTGGCCTCCTTCTTGGTTCTGCCTTTCCGGGCCGAGCCCTCTGTGACACCAGAACCACAGAATAATAAAAAAGCGAGCAGAACAAGAGACTGTGGACTCCGTTAGTTTACAGTTGCAGGTATTTTCCAGGTGTGAGCGGAGGGACTGACCTGTGTATTTGTCTGTCAGGTTGTAATATTCATACTCGTCGTAATATTCGTCCTCGAAGCTGGTGGGCTTCAGGTTCTTCACGTCGACGTGGCTCATGTTGGTTTCTCCTCAGAACTCAGGTGTCCAGGTGAGTCTCTGGTGTTTCTCTCAGGAGTGTTTTTGTTCCTGCAGCTTTTGTTTTGGTGTGTTGTTGTTCCGTCTCCTCTCGGGGTTTTTATCCAGTCAGCAGCTCCTCCTCTCCTCTCCGGCTCCTCCTGCACGTTTCTGGTTTCTTGCTGCACTAATGTTGCATCAGACACGTTTCTGCAGCTTCTCAACCTTTTGTTGGGACCAAAATCAGAAAATATCAGAAATACAGAAGCAAAGAGGAAAAGTTATGACAGGAAACATTTGGTCAGATGTCATAAAAGTCCAAATGCTCACATTGAAATCAGCATTTTGATATGATGAGGACAAAAATATCACCTTTAATGACAAAAAACAACAACATGATGTCTCATGTTTAGGTTGTTTTTTTATTTCAGGGTTTATTTGATTTTCTTTTTTTTTTTTTTTTTTTTTTTTTTTTTTTTTTTTTTGCTAAAATCTGACAACTTAGAGTTTTTTCCCCTCATGATGATCATATTTTGTTATATTTTCGACTATTTTTGTGATATTTTTAGCTTAAAATTTGCCCTTTTTTAAAATAAATACATAAATAAATTTGACCTTATATTTCATAATTTATTTCATAATTTTTTATTTCCTGCTGCTGTTTTTCATTCTGTGATTGTTGTTATAATTTTGATTAAAAAACAAAACTGTTATCTCCATTTTTTTACCCTCTTTTTGATTTTATAAATATCTTCCTTTTTAACTCACCTCATGATTTTAACCTGTTAAAACATAACTGGGACATTTCTCTTATAATTTTGACTTTATTTAGAATATGGTGTCATAACTTTAAACATTTATGTCACTTTTTTTAAACTAAATTTTGCTTTTTAACTCGTAACTTTGACTTTTTATATTTCTGATTTCATAGGTACCAGATTTTTTAACTCATCTCAGAATTTTGACATTTTCTAAATATTTTTTTTCAATTGTTTTTTCTTGTTTCAGTTCAGACTTTAATGTGTTTTGTTTAATTTATACATTGAAAAATAATTTTGAAACCTCATCTCAGACTTTTGATCCATTAAACTGCAATTTTGACATTTTTCTCATATTTTTAACTTAATAATTTAGATTTTGATGTCATACGATGGAATGTTTGTCACATTTTTAACCTAAACTTTGCTTCTTAACTCATAATTTAGACTTTTTATGTCACATTCTTTTACTGAATATGTAAATAATTCACTTTTTAAAATCTCATCTCATAATTTTGACCAGTTAAACCGTTAATTCTTCATAATTCTGACTCGATAACATTCAGTTCAGTGTGTTTCAGCTCAGACTGACTTTGTCCTACATTCGTGTTCACGTGTTTTGTGAAGTTTGACCTTCGTCTGAGCGGCAGGTTGCACTGACTCTGTTTTCACGGTTTTTATCAGCAGCTGCAGCTTCGCACGGCCTCGACCTGATTCTGTTCTGTCACCTGAAAGCCTGCAGCCAAAACCAAACACAACACTGACAGCTTTTCTGATTCAGCGATATTCAGTCTGTGCTGTTTTATAATAATCCTTCATATAGATGTAAGTGTGCTGAAATGCACTGAATGTGAACTGTATTCCTGCACATTAGAGAGTTTTTGTCTTCGGATTTTGTCCTGTTGACATTTACAAAAATATATTTTCACATTTTGTTTCATAATTTTATCATTTTAACTCGAAATATTGACTTTTTATCCCATAATTTTGACCTAATACATTAAAGTGCCAACTTTCATCTTAGAGTTTGATTCCTTTTTCTGTCTTTTTTTTAAACTTTGATTTGTTTTGCTTTTAACTTCAACATTTTTTGTTTCTTCCTATTTTTGACATTGTACCTGTTACAGTATGGACGTTAGCTCATAATTCTGACTTATTCCTCATAATATTTGGACATTTTATCCCATTATATTGACTTTTATATCATGATACTGACTCAATAAGTCAAAATGTGATTTTTAGTAAATAGTTTCATTATCTCGAGGCAATTTTTTTTTCTCATTCTTTTGATTTGTTGTTTTGAACGTGTTTTCTCATAACATCTTGTGTTTATTTGATCATTTTGACCTTTTTCCTACAATTTAGATGTTTTTTCTAACTCTTAATAAGTCAAAATGTCCCCTTTGGTGTAATCATTTTGTGTTCATTTTCACTTTTTACAAGTAATTTATTTACTTTTTTTCATTTCACCTTTATTTACCAGGTTGGTCCGTTGAGATACGATGACCTCTGCAGCAGCCTGACTTTAGACTTGATCAATTAGAGAATGAGGACGTAATGGGATTTTTATCAGTAAATTTAACAAACCAATAATGTGCTAGAAATACTTGCTGATGCAAAATATACAAAATGTTTTCCTGCATGTTTGACTCTGACTTACTGGTTTCACTGTTTTGTGCAGTCAAGTAGAAATATTTTCCTTTTTATCGCATAGTTTGGAATTTTTTTATACAAAACTGGAACTTCTTGACTTTTTAATCTTATAATTTAGACACAATAATCCCAAAAAAACAGCATAATGCACTTTTATTTTGTGCATTTTTATTAGATTTTTGTTCCAAAGTCAGCACAATAAAGACAGAAATGCACTCGCTCTCAGTAAACTAAAGTGTGTTTTTTTAACTTTACCTGGTGTTCAGGTTTGTAGGTGTGCAGGTATGTAGGTGTTTGTATCTAATCTCAGTTATCTAATCTGTGGAACGTCTCATTTTGTTTCCTTGAGAAACAATCTTTGGACTGAACTTATCAGACAGTAAAACCTCACACAGATTATCTGAACAGTGTCACTGACACATTTTACACAGTGGAAGAATTCACCTCCTAAAAGTCCTCATGATCTCATTTGCTGGGCACTGACAGGCTTTTTACAACATCAGAGGTGTGTAGTATTTTCAAATTTTATATGAATGAAACAATTACAAAAAGACACAACGGCTAAAAATAGACACACAACAAGCACAAGAAGACACAAAACAATCAAAAACATCCACAAAAAAACACAGAACCACTAAAATCAGATGCCAAACAACCATAAAACACACAAAATAGTCAAAAACAGACTCAAATCAACCACAAAGACACAATAAACAACTACAAAGAGACACAAAACACTATAAAAAAATACAGAACAATTGCAAATAGACAAAAAAAAAACATAAAAAAGATGCAAAACAACTATAAATAGATAAAAAAAAATTGCAAACGATCCAAGATAACCTCAAAATATCCTAAAACATTTTATAACAGGCCCAAAACAACCACAAAAATACACAAAAGAGACAAATATAAATACAAAACAATCACAAAAAGAGACAAAACATCTATAAATAGAATCAAACAACGACAAACAGACACAAAACAACTGCAAAAGATGTAAAAATAGTACAAAATGTCACAAAACAGATAAAAACAGGCACAAAATAACCACAAAATGGCCAAAACAGCTAAACATAAAAACAAAACAATCACAAAAAACACAAAACAACAACAAACAGACACAAAACAGAAACAAAAACACAAAGTAATTCTATTTATTTGGGCTGTAAAATTCCAGCTGAATCATCGTCTCACAGGTTCATCGTGTTTATTTAGGGAATAAAACCCTCCCCTTGTCACACACAGAACCGCTGATGTAGATCCACTCAGTATTTACAACATTTATTTGATGTAAACATGAAAGAAGAATCAGTGAACTGCAGCGTTTCCTATTTGTTTTTGTCTGATGCAGCGGGTTTTTTTTACCCCACAAACTGATGAGAAAAGGAACAACTGTGTGCTTCCACATCCTCCAGAACGCACTGAAGCGTCGGATGCAGCAGCTGTTCTGGATGTTTCTGTAAACGGCAGCAGCTCCTCCTCCTGCAGAGGAACCTTCTACGTGCCAGACACACAAACACTGCTCTGACCTGAACACTGTGTCATGACCGCACGCTGCTGCTTTAAGGAAACTGGTCCGTTGTTGCGGCTTCACCTCCTTCTTCTGCTGCTCTACAGTCAATATTGGCAGATATGTGAGCAGATACAGTGTGTCCTTGGCGTGCGCACAAACACACGTCTCAGCCATGTAACACACACACACACACACTGAGTACACAAACCAGGTCACACACATCAAACATCCGTCTGAATGACCTGTTTTTATTACCACTCATTTGTCTCAGCGGGTTGTAAATAGGCAATAAAGGACACAAAAAAGATATAAAAAAAAACAAAACCCACGTAGTAACAGACACAAAATGAGTTTACAGATGAAAAACAACCACAAAGAGGTACCGACCAACATCAAACGAAACTGCAACAAGCAAAAAGAGACACAAAATGACCACAAAAAGGCACAAATCACCACAAAATTACCACTGAAGGACACAAACTTTCACTAAGAGACACAAAACGACTGCAAAAAAGACACACATCACCACAAAATAACCACAAAGAGACAAAAATCAACTACAAAAGACACAAAGCGACACACCCAGAGGAGCTACAAACCAGGTCACAGACATCTGGAATCTGCTGAGACACTTTCATGTATCTGACCTGGTTTTAAACAGAAAGTAAATCATTTAGTTCGCTGATTCATTTAAACTTTAATTACTTATTATACAATCAGGAGATTAATTCAATTAGATTTTTAATAATCCTGCATTTTAAGACATTTTCACTCACTATCTTCATATCACTCTATGAAGTGTCAGTAATTGCCTGCACAATTGACATTTTTTCATGATTTTAAAATCACAAGTATTTAACTCGTAAATTAAACATCAAAATAGCACTTAAAACCTGTGGCTAACCAAGCTGGTCTTTCATTAAATTCTCTACAAAACCCAGAGGAGACAGAGAAGAAACGACCAAGAAACAAAACAACATAGTCATCCCCTGTGTTGCAGGAGTTCCTGGAAAGCTCAGGAGGATTTTTAACGAACACAACATTCCAGTGCACTGCAAGCTCACCAACACCCTGAGACAGAAGCTGGTTCACCCTAAAGACAAGACACCAAGACATAAACAAGGCAACATGGTGTACGCAGTCCAGTGCAGCGAGGAATGCCCAGACCTGTACATCGGAGAGACAAAACAACCGCTCCACAAGCGCATGGCTCAGCACAGAAGAGCAGCTCCTCAGGACAGGACTCAGCAGTCCACCTGCATCTTACGGACAAAGAAAACTCATTTGAAGATAATAATGTACAGATGTTGTCCTGGGAGGACAGATGGTTTGAGAGAGGAGTGAAAGAAGCCATCTATGTCAAACTGGAAAGACCATCCCTCAACAGAGGTGGAGGTCTGAGGCATCACCTCTCACCTGTTCACAATCCAAACATAAGAACTCTTCCCAGGAAGATGAAACCCATTCACACCGAGCCACAAAAGACCCTAAAGAACCCCATTGTGTCAGGGGGAGTCGTGAGAGGGAGGAGCAGCAACCCCCAGTTGAAACCGAAACTCAGGTGTTCATGGCTCCTTTAGGATATAAGTATCTGGAACTCCCAACTAGTCAGTCAGAACTGATGAAGCCTCTTGGATGAGAAGTGGAACGTCTTCAAGGAACTCAAGCAAGTCCGGTTGCTACGGTTAATCTACATGAAGGACCACGACCTGGATGACTGAGAATAATCTTCACAGACAACAACACAATTAGACGTGAGTGCATCATGTATAGTATGTTTTAGTTTAGTTTCACATGTCTGAGACCACTTAATGAAACAGTTCGTCTCATTAGTTCAACGTGAAAAATGTGTTTTCATGTTTTTGTTGTGCAGTACCGCCTCCGTCCTGCTGGGGCCGCTGAGCGCAGTGACGCTGCTGCACCAGCGTCACATTAATACAGAAGAAGAAGAAGAGGCTAATCTGTAGTTAGCAAAGCAGCAGCAAAAAAGGAATAAAGGACCGCGGTGAGTGGATTTACGGGCAGCTAATGGAGAAAACGAGACACATATGATCATTACTGATTAATTTAGATGAATATTTGTAGCTGATGTTTCTGTTAAATGAGTATAAATGTAAATATTCAGCGGTGCAACTCGGCTAACATTAGCGATACAAACCAGTTGCTAACTCAGTCGACGAGCGACTCAACAGTTCGCGTTACTTGTATTTACCCTTTTAAAGGTATAATAAGCATTTTTGCCAGATTTATTAAATCAGGTTTATGCATTTTTCAATGCTTAGTGCAGGAGTATCATAGTTGTCGCTCTATCAATGATTATCGAGCCGGTTCCCCCTCAGAGATTATTAACCGAACTCCAGTCAGAAAACTATCAATTAAAAGATCCTCTGTTTTTCAAATAACATAAAAACTGTTTAAAATATGAACCTAAACTGCTTGAATCCACTTGATTATTCGGCTTTAATCCAGTTCGCATTTTGATCAGAATGGTAAAGTTTTTTAGATTTGTTTTTGCTCCTACGAGCTGTTTCCACTCATGATAAACGGCGCCATAAGCCTTAAAGTGGCAGGTTTTAAAATGGGGTTTTGTATGGATTTAAGATTCTAATGATGAATGGCAAAATCTTTGCTTTTTCCTCAGTGAAATGTCAGAAAAAGCTACCGCAGCTGACATTTTTACATAGTTTTGACTTATTTGAGTATAGTGTTGAATTTTTATCTTGTAATTCTCTTTTTATCATTTGTTTATTCCATAGATCTGATAAGTAATTCCATTTTTTTGCACTTTAACTCGTAATATTTGCTCATGATTCTTTCTTAATTAGTCAAAATGTGATTTATCTCATAATTTGAGGTTCACTTTTCCCCTTTATTTTGACCTTGTACAATATTTGACATGTTTAATTAGATTAGGCACAAAAACAACGATTTGATAGACATGTAATTGCTGATATTGAAGTACTAATGTTTTGTTGATCTGTGTTGTTGAATCAAAAAGGTGCAGACATGTCAGCAGATACTAAGATTGCTGAGCTGCTCACGGAGCTTCACCAGCTTATCAAACAGACCCAGGTAAAGGTATAACTCATCGATAACCAGAAGTCCTCCAGTGGCTTTGTGATAGATCAAATGTTTGTTTGTGCACTTTAATCTTGAGCTGCTTTTAGTTTACTCAATGGAATCTACATAATCTCCATGTGTCTTTTTTTAGGAGGAGAGGTCACGCAGTGAACACAATCTACTCAACATCCAGAAAACACATGAGAGAATGCAGACGGAAAACAAAAGTCAGTCAGAACGTTTGTAATATATGTATAACATTTATGTTTTAGGTCTATTTTAACAGTTTTGTCTCTTTTTGTGGTTGATTTTGTTCCTAATTGTTTTGGAAATGCCAAGTTTCATCCATTAAAATCACGTAAAGGCAGAAAATTTTGAATACACACACTGTTGCATTCTTACATTTGTACACAGTTTAACTCTTTCTTGTTTTTCATGTTTCCTCCAGCATCTCCGTACTACCGAACCAAACTGAGAGGCCTGTACACCACAGCTAAAGCAGATGCTGAAGCAGAGTGTAGGTAGGTGGACACAGATTAACTTTCTTTGAATGCTGCCACCGGACTGATGCTGCCCCGCCCACCCACACTCAGTAGCTCAGAGACATTATGTCCGGTCTAAAGCTTGATGTTTCATTTTACAAATGTTGAAAAAACCTGGGTAGTTCTCCAAACAACCTAAATAATAAAGTAAGAAAATGACCTCAGATTTTCATATAAGAAGTAGTTTTTCACGTTTTGTGGCAAATAAAACTTGAAACATTTGGTGAAGAAGAAATATTGCACATTGTACAAGAATGTGAACTAAAATATTGTACATGAATCTGAAATGTTCCACATGATAACAGATGTAAAATCCTTTCATCTTCTTTACTTATTTCTCTTCTCAGTATTCTGCGTCACGCTCTCGATAAAATCGCAGAAATCAAGTCTTTGCTGGAGGAGCGTCGGATTGGTAAGTTCGTGTCAACATTGCTTCATTCTTTAAGTTCTGTCACTACCTTTTTGGCTCATGAACTGTATTTTCTTGCCATTTGGTGTTTTTGCAGCTGCTAAGATGGCAGGAGTTTACAGCGACAGCGACCCTCCCAGGAAGACAATGAGACGAGGCGTCCTGATGACGCTACTGCAGCAGTCGGCCATGACGCTGCCTCTGTGGATCGGGAAGCCTGGAGAGAGGTAGCTGCTGCTCTCACTGCTCAAACATCAATTAGAACTTTATTAGAGACACCAGCCAACCATTAGAGATGGTTTTTATTTTTGCTCGATGGTGATTAAATCTGTATCTGAGACAGTGAAATAACAGCAGCAGCTTCTTTTTTTTTTTTTTACATGAATTGTCTTTCAAAAGCTCCTTGATCCAAACTCTATAAGTCCTGCCTTAGAACCAGTTAAAGCATCTTTAAAGCATAAAACTGACCAAATGTTGTTGGTACTTTTAGATGATAAAATCAGAACTGAGTCTGTGAATCCAAAAATACAGGATTTATGTCGGTATTTTTCTCAAACTCGTAATAAATTAAGGTTGAATATTGCTGTCACTGACTGTCAGTATCACCCGGTGGTTTTGTCTGTTTATTTGTTTTACAGTGATTTTGACTCTTTGCTGTGACTTAATGTTTCGGTAGTTTTGTGTCTTTATGTGGGGATTATTGGGTCACTCGTTGGTGAGTTTGGATCCACTGCTCGTCTCCGTCCAGGCAACAGAGAGAAAGACTTTTATTGAGATTTTCCTTATTTCGTGGTGACGTTTAGTCTTTTTGCAGTAGTTTCACATCTGTTTGTGGTAATGTTTCATCTTTTTGTAATGATTGCGTCTTTATATGGTGATTGTGTGTCTCTTTTTTTTGGTGATTTTGCATTTTTTGTGGGGATTTTGCATCTATTTGTAGTAATTTCACATCTTTTTGTGGGGACTTTGTGTTTCTTTGTGGCTATTCTGAATCTTTTTGTGGAGATTTTTCATGTCATGGCTATAATTTCTCATCTTTTTGTCGTGATTTTGACAATTTTACAGCTTTTTGTAGAGAGGAAGTAATTGAATTAAGATATTTCAGACATCACTTTTTCAGTTAATTCATTTGTAATTTAAAAATCACCAGTTTAATCAATGAAAAGCTGCAGCTTAACTGTTTGATTCATGTGACTGGATTCTCTTCAGCTGGGGCGGCAGGTCATTCTCTGACAGATGGACGGTGTTTTTCTGTCACCTTCAGACACTAACGTAGAGTTTTCTCTCTGTCCCCCTGCAGCCCTCCTCCTCTGTGCGGGGCGACGCCGGCCAGCAGTGACTACGTGGCCAAACAGGGCGACAAGGTGGCAGCGAGGGTGAAGGCGGTGGACGGAGACGAGCAGTGGATCCTGGCCGAGGTGGTCAGCTACAACCACTCCACCAACAAGTAAGAGCATCATGCAGTTCAGACTCAGCAGCACGTCGACTGTGACGCATCCAGATCCACAGTTTGACATTCAGCACGCAGACAAATCTGACTTCTCCCCTCATCTCCCTGCAGGTATGAAGTGGACGACATTGATGAAGAGGGCAAAGAGTGAGTTCATGTTTTTTTACCCTCAAATCTTCTCCTGACTCACAGTTTTCTTACAGACTGCATCAGGTTGTTCTCCAGGAGTTCTCTATACTTTGCTGCATTCATTTTACCCTCTACCTTTACACGCCTTCCAAGAATTGCTGAAAAGAAGCATCCCCAGATCATGATGCTGCCACCTCCATGCTTTATAGTAAGGATGGTGTGTTTGGTGTCCAACAAACATAGCATCTAGACTGATCAAAAAGCTCAATTTTGGTCTCATCAGACCAAAGAACCTTCTTCCAGTTGACTTCAGAGTCTCCCACATGTCTTCTGGTGAACTCTAGTCCAGATTTAAAATGAGCTTTTGTCGACAGTGTCTTTCTCTTTGTCACTCTCCCATAAAGCTTTGACTGGTGAAGAACAGACAACAGTTGTATGAACAGTGTCTCTCATCTCAGCTGCTGAAGCTTGTAACTCCTTCAAAAGGGGTCATAGGTGTCTTTGTTGTCAAAAGAGCCAAATTCTACTGAACATGATTCAACTACGCTTGAAGAGCAGCCACACTGATCTACTGTTCATTTATTTATTTCCTCCAAGTGGACGAGAAAGTAGTTTAACAACAACTACATGCCTGAAGTGTCTGTGTGAAGCCGATTAAATGCAGAAGTATAAATCCAGCTTAAGGATGCTGCTGTTTGTGGTAACTGTGAGGGACAGTGAAGTGTCTCTTGTCAGATTTATCAGGTTCTGTTCATCGATTCGTTTACTTCTGGTTTGTTTCTTTACATGAGATTCGTCCGCAGGCTGTTTTCTCCTAAGTGTGCTTCATGTGTGTCTAAAAGTGTTGTTGTTTCTTTGTGCGATCAGGCGGCACACTCTGAGCAGAAGGAGGATCATCCCCCTGCCTCAGTGGAAGGCCAACCCAGAGACGGACCCCGAGGCCCTGTTCAGTAAGGACCAGCTGGTTCTGGCTCTTTACCCTCAGACCACCTGCTTCTACCGGGCCCTGATCCACACTCCACCACACCGGGTGAGACCTCAGCACCAGTTCAGCTTGTATTTTTAGACTCTGAATCACAGAGTTGATCAACAAGATCAAATGCTGATTCACAGCTTCTGTAAAGGACTGAACGCTTCACATCAGTGTTGTCTGAAACTGTCGCCCCAGTGTTTTAAAAAGCGGATTCGTTACAGCTTTATTTGTTGAATTAAGACACAAAACACAGCATAATAAAGTCAAACACATCACAGAAAATGTCAACAAAATACCCAATAATATATAGAAATGATTAAGACGTATTGATTTGAAGAACCTAAAACATCTTTACTTTGTGCCTCCAGTTACACCAGTCTGATGCTGGACAACTTAGCAGTTTGATATTTCAAAATAAAAGCAGTGAATTTGTTGCACTGCTGTTGCTGCACGAAGTCCAGGAAATAATGCTTTTTTCCCCCAAATGTTCCAAAGCAAAATCAACTCAACGAGCTTATTGTCTTTTCGCGCAGCTTCACAGCAAAGATACAAATCTGAGGGGTTTTTTTTTTTGCAGATCTGCAGTCTGTTGTTTCTGCAGCAGCAAAACTGGATCAAAATCTACCAAATGTCCAAACTGTAATCTACTAAATGCCAGTTTTCTTCCACTGTGAAGCTGTTTTGGACTAATAATACCCCAAACAGGCCTCAGCTGATCCTGTATTAACTGTTTAACGTGTGTTTGTTTGCAGCCGCAGGACGATTACTCGGTGCTGTTCGAGGACACTTCGTACGCCGACGGTTATTCTCCTCCTCTGAACGTGGCGCAGCGATACGTCGTCGCCTGCAAAGAGAACAAGAAGAAGTGAGCTGGATCTTAAAACACAGCAGAGAACGAAGCCTGCGTGTGAGAAATATTGTCTTCGATAGCAGCTGTTTGCATTTTAAATGTAAAAATGATCTGAAACCTGCTGAATCTGATTCCATCTGACTCTGATCATACTTGAGATTCCTGCAGAAAGAAACCAAGCTGAGCTGGACGGACATTCAGTTTGTATTTTAACAGGGAAACTCGTTCACATTTTCTTGGAGCGTCATCTGTTGGTCAGCGAAAGAACTGCAGCGACTTCCAGCTGCTGCAATGGGAACAAATGCAGTTATTTTGAGACTGTATATTTTTATATTTCATGCATCAACAATTTCTGTGTTGTATATTAAAAAAAAACTCTATGTACAGAACTGTGTTCGTCTCCTTTCGTTTTGTGTTGGTGCACTACGTATAACTCACATACAGTATATACTGATTGTCCAGCAGAAAATGAGACTGCTTTCAAAATAATCTTTTTGAAGCTGCTAATGTCAGATATATATATATATATAAAATACACATTTAACATGAAATAGAGCAGCACAGGAGGGCAGGGAACACCAAAAATTGAAAGTACTGAAAAGATTTTTTTTTTTTAAATGTAAACAATTTATTGTTGTATTTTGTTTTGTTTTGTTTTTGGTTTTTTTTTGGACATGAGTTAAACAACTAACTGTTTACATTTACTTTACATCATGCTACTGAATGAAGTGGCTGAATAAGTGTCCATATCCTTAAGGTAAAGTACTGCAATATGCATAAAAATACTATTACCATAAAAAAAAATCTGCATTTTCTACATGCATTATGGTAGTTAAAGCCCATATTATAAAGAATTCCTCCTGTGTGTGTTGTATACTGTATAATATAATGCTGGATTATTGTTACTAATACATGAGGAGCACCACAAATTGATGCCAGCTTTAAATATAAAATTATTATTCAATTTATTAAAATAAATTAAATTAAATACACTAGTAAAACTAGTATTTTTAGTAGTTTAATCTGTAACACTGCATTATATTTTACAGTTTAACTATCATTATGCAAAACAGGATTGTATGACGAAGTAATAGAATTGTGCTTCTCACAAGAAAGGAAAACATTTTAAGACAAAATAATCAAGTCCTAAAAATACACCTGTTTTTGTGATGAAGTGTGGAATCTTCACAAACAACTCACCGGACATTTTGGGTAAAATCTCAGTCGAGTTGTTAGATAAATGTAGGTAATTATGACTGTGATTTGCTTGTTTTTTTGTCTGTGTGTAGTTCTTGTGGTCCCTGAAGGCAGCACCAGCCTAACGAATGGAGAAATTCGCTCCGGAATGAAAATATCTGACAGTCAGTGAAGGCGTCACAAGGCGCTAAGAAAAAACTCAAAACAAACATGGCGGACAGGGTGAGTTTGTCAGAACTGCTGCGACTTTTAACGGCTAAAAGAACACTTAATCTTTAAATTATGTGATCAATAAGAGGTGTTATGTTGTTCTGGGTAAAGTTACTGCGGGATAAAAGCGAACAATATGAACGTTAAGCATCAGAAACGAGATAAATTAGCTCCAATAGTAAATAACGGCATCAGTTAGCATCAGGTTAGCTCCGGTCATTTCCAGCTGCTGTTCTGATTTAGTTTTTAAGTTTCTGCTGATAGTTAAAGCAGCGATTTAACCTCATTTTGAATCTGGACCCTGTACAGAACCTGTTAGCTGATTAATTTAAATGAGCATAGATTAAAACAGCAGCCGGATGTGGAAAATGGTGAATTTACATCAAGCGATCACGTGGATGTTCTTCATTTTCATATGAAGCTTCTGTCAGATCGGTTCAGACTCCGCTGGTTGTTGTTTTATTGCATTTAATTGGAAGTTATGTGTGATTTATGCGTTTTTTTTTTATTTATGATCCATCCACAGGCAAAGTTTTGATCTACTAATGTTTTACTTCACCCGAAAGACGACTGGTCGAATTTCTGTTTACTTTTTTTTGGTTTTTTTCTTTCGAAAGGGTTAATAAATGTGATGTTAGATAGTTTTAGAGATGTTGGAGGTGACCTTTATGACAGTAAAATATCTACATAAATGACCAAGAAATCTGCATTTTGGATCAGCTGAGTGGAGAAATGAAGTCAAAAATTCACTTTAGTTCTTTAAGTTCTTTCTTTGAGTCATTTGGTTTCTGTCTTTACATTATAAACTTATTTAAGCTCCAAAGGCCAGTTTTTGATTTACAGTGAATTTATATTTGACAGAAAGTCCTTCTGGTCAAATATAAATTCACTTTTTTTTTGCACAGATTATTAAATGAGATGTTAGAGAGACTTTGTTAATGGAAAAGATTTTAGTAACATTGTAAAAATTCTCTTCAATCATTTAAGTACAATTAAATTCAGATTCTCTAATAAATTATTGTAATATTACATATTACTTAGTGTCATTGCCAGTATTACTTCTTACTTACTATTGCTTATTGTAATTGTATTTCAGTAATGTATGGCTGTATTCATTCTGCTCAGTATTTCATTCTGAGTGAGATCTGGCACAAGAGTTTTCTTTTAGATTTTAAAATTCTATCTTAATCTTCATCGCTGCATTATTTATATTTGAACTGCAAATAATTTGTCTTAATGCAAAATTAATTATGAAGATTTATTTGAGAAATAAGTTTCTAAAGGTTAAAAAAAAAATAATTTAAAAAAGGAAATAGCTCATATTTGTCATTAACACAGGGTCCTTCCTGTCATTTCCTGCTGGAGGAATCCTGTTGGTCATATATACTGTATATTTATTCAAATCTGGCATTTCTATAAATAATTTATTGCCCATGTTTTGCTTATTTCTACATAAAACAAACTAAGATTAGCTTATTAATTCCTTTTTTCTTTTTAAAATACATTTTACATTTGTCATTCTGAATATTTTTGGCTTAGTTTTCATATAATTTACTTGTATTTGTTACTCTTTTATTATTACTTTAATACATTTATTGTTTACGACATATGTATGTGTGTGTTGTTTAACAGCTTTAGTGTCTGTCTGTGTGGCTGCAGATGCTTCTTTATGACTTCATGTTTGTCAGTTTGTTCACCTGCAGCAGTGAGTTTATCAATCAGGTGTTAAATGGCTGCAGGGTTTCAGTTCAGCTTCTGTCTCTGCTCAGGTATCTGACAGCGAAGTTCAGCCTGCCAAGCCCAAACGTCGACGAATCCTCGACCCGTCGGCCATCGTGTCCGTACCGGTTTACTCCAACAAGGTGACAAGCCGGCGGTGGTTCTGTTCGGTCTGTGACATTTCCTGGTGATACGCTTTGTTTCTGTGTGTGAAGATGCAGGTGTGTGTTTTCAGGTGAGCAGCAGTTTGCAGCTGAAGCCGACAGCAGCTGTGTTCGCCGTGAAGCCAAACTCAGGTGAGCAGCTTTAATCCAGGCAGCAGCTGCTTCCTCGCCTGTCGACTTAATCGTCTCTGTTTCTGACCAGACAACGACGCCGACGACGGTTTGTGGTCGGAGCTTTCGTCTCGAGGAACGCTGCCGCCGAAGCCCAACGTCATACTCAGCGACTCCGAGGACGAAGCAGAACTTGAACGGAACAAAGCAGCAAAGAAACAACCGTGAGTCGGATTCATCGGCTTCAGACGGAGACTGAACATGAAGCTTTAAACATCTGTGTCGTTGTGTTGTTTCAGAGAAGCTGTTCGCTGCCCGTCTCCTCCTCCAGAGACTCCGGTCCAGAAACAGTCGAGGAAAGTCAAACAGAAGATCAAGTGAGTTGGTTACAGCTCACATCAACAGTTTCCTCATCACGTCTGAAACAGCAGAGTCTGTGAAACACCCTCCTCTGAAGAAAAATGTTGTTTTTAGTCACATTCACACCTTAAAGTCTGTGTAAAGCAGAAAAATATCCACAGAAAAGTAGAATAAAAATCTCCAAGTTGTAAAATTCGGAGCAACGTCAATAAACTATGAAGCAGCATTCTGTGCTCTGAAGCTCTGCTGGAGTCTGTCAGCTTCTGAAGAAAATGAGAACACTGAGCTGTTCTGCAGGTTCTGGCTCACAAGGGTGTAGACTGTGGTAGATGTAGAACCACCGGTGATGAAGTTGTCTCGCTTTTTTAGTGTTAAGATGAAGGATCCTGTTAATTCTGGCACCAGTGTCAATATTTCTGATCCACAAAGTAAATCCTGAACACAAAAACAATAATCGAACGGCACAGTTCAGCTCTACAGATTTCAGTCTCCTCACATGTTTTCAGCATCTGTTTCCTCACGTTTTTATTGTGTTTAGAATCAAATCTGAGACATTTCCTTGACGCCAGCTGTTTCACTCCTCGTTATTTTAAGCAACTTACTATGAATTCAATGCTGTTCTCCCAGGACAATGCAAAATACAAAATAATGACAATAAGTGTCATTAAATAATTATTTCGACCTGGTTGTGTTTTTTCTCCGTCAGTGAAATCGACCGAAGGCTTCGGGCCGTCAGCTCTCTTCTCTCTCCGGAGCCTCAGAACAGAACATCTAGACGCCGTCGAAGTCGACCGTCTTCGCCGCCCGAAGAGCAACGAGACATCATTGCCCCCGTCGACGACGACGTCATCATCATGAACCCTAACGATGACGATGACATCATCATCATGAGCCCTGAGACGGGGTCACAGAGTTCACCGTACAGCCAGACGGTCCGGGAGATTCCCCTGAAGATCCGCTGCAGAACCGAAGTCCACAAGATCCCAGTTCTGTCGGTACGACCTGACCACACCTGAAAACAACCCTCTCAACTTTATTCATGTAGATACTTTAAAAACAGAGTTTACAAAGTTCGTCTCTGATTTGCCGGAAATTTTTATAGCATGAAATCTGAGTGTTTGTAAAGATATTTGTCAGATTTTTGATTGAGATATCAAATACTTCTCAAGATTTTTTATTGTTTTTGCCAGTCAGCACACTTTCTGCAGTTTTTTCAAACTGTTTGAAAGGATCAAAATCGAGTCTCTGCTTTGTGTTTTATTGGCAATAAATTTAAAGACCAAAGTCACAGCTGGACTCTGTGCAGGAAGTTGAAGTGTGAGAACATTTATATTCATGGGAACTAAGTGTTTACTTTGGGGCATCTCTTCAATAAGTTTATAAGTCTTTTAAGTACAACAGGTAACAGTTCAGTCTGTGTCTCCAGCCGACAAAGTGTGGTCAGAAAAAATCATTTGTTTTTTTAGTTATATTTAGAGAACTACTTTGAAACTCCAGAACTCTGTCGTACTTGGATCAGACTATCGACCGATGTTTTAGTTTTTGTGCTGCAACTTGTCAAACCTGCTCAACTGGTTATGAAAGTTCAACCAAAAAATTTTTTTCATTTTGTGACCCTGTATGTCATATTAAAAGTATTCTTATTATGTTTATTTATGTAAACAAACATGAAGTATTTTTATTCAGAAAATATCACGACTTCACTTCTGATTTTTGGTGACGGCTTCAATTGTTTTTCATTTTTCAACTCATCCATAATCACAGATTATTTGATGTCATTGTCCAGTATTTCAGATTCTGAATCAATGTCATGAAAAATAACAGTGAAAATTTCAGGTTTTTGTTGTTAATAGTTCCTGAAATATTGTTGTTCAAATAGTGGAGTAGATAGTACCACGGTAATAGTAAACATACTACAAAAATGTTCCCTTAAAGTTACAGAGAAGAACGTTTTTACCATCTAGAGCCGTCCTGCATGAACTAAGTTTCTTTACTTTCTTTGTCTCGCTGGAGGTTCATGTGATGGAATTGGCTTCATTTTTAACACCTGGTTTGTTTTATTTTATGTTTTCAGTCGACGCCTCTAAGCGACATTGTGGCCCGGCTGTCCCTCATCCTGAGAGTCCCACCTCCTCGCCTCCTGCTGCTGAGGGAGGAAGTCGAGCTCCCGACCGACTCCACGGTTGGCGAGCTCGGCATCAGCATCGCTGACATCATAGGTGAGTCACATGACCAGCATTTGAAGTGCAGTCATTAGAGGATGAGTACCAGAGGACTGAATGGAGATGTGCGGCACACTTTTTTGTTCACAACATGAATCCATGTGTCATTTAACACTTGTGTTTAATTGTACGCTGCAAAAAAATGGTAAAAATAAAGATGCATATCACACACCATAGCATTTGTTGCCAAAGGTAATTTGCAGCATCTGAATTTAAAATGGAAAAAAAAACTCTTCAAAAGAGCACAAAATGTTTTAACAATCAGCTAACGACACCTCAGATTATAATTAAAAGACAGAACTCAGATTTTGTGCATGTTTTACACCAGCAGGGGGCAGCAGAGCAACACAAGTCTGCATAAGGCTTGATCTGGGAGTCTCATTACTTTACTTTGTATTTTACTGCTGCAAGTTCTGCAGTGATGCTAATTATTTATCTTTACAATAGATATATATAATAAGCAGGCTGAAGAGCCATTTCACTTGCAAGATTAAACTTAATTTTATTTGTTAAACGAGCAAATTCAGGCCATATCTGAGTCATTAGAAAACTAAAAATATTTTTTCCTGTTTTTGTGTGCAGAGTGTGTCGTCATGGCAGCGGAGGATAAAAGCCAAGCATGCAGCAGCAGCATCATCACCGTGAGACTGCAGAGCAAAGACAGAGCTTCCTCTCAGGAGTTTTCTCTGGACAGAGTTAGTAGCTTCTCTTCTTCTTCTCTCCTGTATCAACTTTGTTTGCAGCAGCAGGACACAAACTGTTCATGTTTGTTTATTTCAGGATTCTCCGCTGGGCTCCGTCTTCTCCCAGTATCTGTCCACGATGTCATCCGCCGCTCAGAAAACGGTCCGCTTCCACTTCGACGGCTGCAAAGTGACGAACAGCCAGACGCCGGCTCAGCTCGACATGGAGGATGGAGACATCATCGAAGTGTGGACCTGACACTCACCGCCATTTCTGACCTTTGATTTTAGAGCCACTGGTTTAGTATTTCAGTTTCTTTATTAAAAAAAAGTCACTTTATTTTGTAAATGTTGAAAATACAAACCTGCAGGTGTTGTTTTGATGAATATGGAATTCTATTTTTAGACATTTTTCAAAATGTAATTAAGAAAAAATTTACATGATAATAAATGAGTAGAATTTATTAAGAATATGAATAGTGAAAGAATTTTTTGGCTAGATTACAAACTAACAGTTTGTTAGCTTTCACTTGGTACAGCTTTCTGGCTTTAGCTGTACAGTTCGCATCTTCTATGACTAGCTCAATAGTTAGCTCTTTATTGCTTTAGCATTGCAGTTAGCATCTTGTACAACTAGCTCTATAGTTAGCTCTTTATTGCTTTAGCATTGCAGTTAGCATCTTCTATGGCTAGCTCAATAGTTAGCTCTATTATTGCTTTAGCATTGCAGTTAGCATCTTGTACAACTAGCTCTATAGTTAGCTCTTCATTGCTTTAGCATTGCAGTTAGCTTCTTTTGTGACTTTAGCTGTGAAGTTAGCTTATTTCTAGTGCCTCACCTATGTACTTATCTTATTTCTACAACCTTTGCTGGACACTTAGCTTTTTTTCTGTTATTTTAGTTGTGTCAGATTCTTTCTATGAGTTTAGCCGTGTGTAGTTATCTTCTTTAAATGTTAATTTTGCTGTTTAATCAGTAGAGTAGAAAGTACCATAGTAATAGTTAGAAACATACTGCAAAAGAGTATATTTTTTGCTTTTAGAATTCTACATAGAGCAACGTACAGCCCCTTTTTAAAATGATAAAAAATAAAAATAACTCCATTTGTTCAGCCACTTTTAAAAACAAAAAATGCTGAAAACAAGTTTAAGCAAACCAAAAACCGATCCTACACATGCAATAAATCAAGATAAAATATTTAAATAAAGTCAAGATGACCTCATTAATTTAATTAATTAAGATCGATATTATGGCAAAGACCTCAGGGCTCTATTAATTCTGTTCTATGACCTGACCAATTTACAGGTAAAGTTTTGATTCTACAAAAAATACATCCAGAAATGTATGGCTTCCCTGGAGCCCAGAAGAGCAAGTTTTTTATTATAAAATAATCAACAGTTAAACAAGCAGATATGACCTGTAATATTAACATACAGCGCCTCAGAAGTAGTAAACACACACACGCACACACACACACACACGAAATTGCCTTAAACAACGTTAGTGGAAACTTCCGCAGTAAACATCCTCTGATCGCTGTCATTGGTTGATTTCCGTCACGTGGTCCGCTTATTAAAGTCATGTGAGCTGCGCAGCGGAGATGTGCTCAGAAGTGTCATGGCGGCGGTGAAGAAGTGTCATTTCTGAGTAGTTTGGCTGTAAACCTTCCGTTTTCTTAGCCCTGCAGAGTGTTTTCTCGGGGGCACTGTATTCTGTAAACCGTCACTATGGGTTTTGAATAGTGTTTGTTAGTTTACGTGTGACGAAGAGAAGATTTGGACACAAAAGGGAGCAGCGGCAGCCTGACTCATCCTCCTCACAGGTAAACAACAGCAACAAACAGCGAGCAGAGACACACGAGTCAGCTGGAGATTAAAACTAAACCGGATTGTTTACGTATACAACCTTATAAACCAAAGTAATTAGCAGAGACTTGATAAACGTCGCAGTTTACCCTTTCCGCCAAACTCCATTCAAAAATCTGCCAATTTTGCAGTGTTTCTATTATCTACACCGTTGGACGTCTTTATCTATGTATTGCCAGCACACAGTAATAAGCTGGAATTACACGCAGTCTAACGGATTCCAGTGTCGTGTTTTTGAATGTATGTATACATATTCTGCTTTACTGTAACGTATATTTCAGTATTTGATCAGCACGGATTACGCTGAACAGGCAGTCGTGGGTAGGAGCGCAAAAAGTTATATTTCCATTTAAAGAAAATACTTATGAAGACGTGTCATGTCGCTCATGTGCCGAATCCATTCATTACAAAAATGGAAACGAACAGAACAACTTTTAGCCGTGGCTGCAACTTATGGTTTGTTTTAAAGCAAAGCGCGTAAAACTGGCAAAATCAGTTTGGAGTCTGGAGTGCGGCTCGCTGCTCGCTAATCAAAGCCTTTCCATTTCCCCTGGAACAAAATACTTCCTGATAATACAATAATTTGCAGAATGAATCAGAAGTTGTTTATTTTGTTTGTTTTATTTTTCACACAGTAGCTCAACAGTTACAAACTAACATTATGTTTTGTTTGATACCAAAGTTCAGCAGTTTCCCTGAGGTTTCCACCAAAGGATCAATAAAGTTCTATTCTATGTAAAACTGCCAGATTGTGAGTGGAGTCTGGTTTGGTGTTTCCCACCTGCTGCTAATGTTAGTTTCCACTTCAACAAAACACTTCGAAAAATTCAACAAATATTTTGCCGAATGAATCAGAAGGTCTTTTAAAATGTTCCGTGCAATAAAGCAACAGTTAAAAACTAACATTAACTTTAGCTTTATGGCAAATTACATAAAACAGACAAAACTCTGAATGGAGTCTGGAGTGCGACGCTCTGCCCGCTGAATTTCCACTAAGACGAAATAGTTTTGGAAAAATACACAAATACTTTGCCCAATTTTTCAGAAGGTCTTTTAAAATGTGTCATATGAAAGCTCTACATTGTAAAAATAACTTCAATATTAGCTTTAACTACCTAAACCTTGTAAATTTTCTGAAACAAACTGCTTTTGAAAAATTAAACACACATTTGTTTAGTTTATCAGGACTTTATTTAAAATGTTTCATACATTAGACCGACAGTTAAAACCAACATTGATGTTTGCTGCAAATCAAGTTTCATTGAAATTGAGAATGCAGAATTTATCAGAAGGTCTTTTAAAATCTTTTATACAACAGCTTAACAGTTTAAAACTAAACTAATGTTAGTTTTACAGCAAAGTCTTTTAAAATTGACGGAATTCTAAATGGAGTCTGGTGCTGAGATTTTTCTTGATGCCTCACCACTTTTGTTAAATTATCTTTCTTATGAATGTACTAAACTCATCAAAGAGTCTTTTAAATGCTCTGTGCCATTTTTCTGGCTCAGGTACATGCAGTAGTAACATTTGGTTGTGAACAGGTACACAAACTGCATTAATGCTGAGTTTCATTTAGTTCACAGTTCCTCCTCTGATGCTGGTCAGCTAAACGTACATTTGTAATGATATAACAAGTGAGCCGAACGTATCAGAAGACCCTTTAAAAAGACCTTAATATTTGGACTCAAAATGGGCCAAAGGTTGAGACAACTCAGTGGTTTCAACATATATTCTTCTTCACAGTTGTCATAAATGGGTCTAACTTAGTAAAACATAACATCCCAATAGTCTCATTGTAAGTGACTCTTTTCATGTAATGTGACAAAATGGTAAAAAACAAATAAAATAAAATGTCCAAGGTGGCGAAGTGTTTTCTCAACATTTAAGAAGCTGGAACCTGCAGGATTTCAGGGGATTTTTTTAAACACATAATTAACAATTTTAAAAAAAAGTTAATGGTGCTGACTTTCCCACAATCTACGAAGCAGTTAATGGAAAAAAGTTCTTCAGACAGCAAACAGAGCAACAGAAATAACAAATATTGTGTAAGTGACATTTAACACCAAGCAAAATCTTTTGAAAACTACCCAACAAATAAAAAAACACGACATTTAAAGGAACTAAAGGTATTTTTTCTGTTCATTTGTCTCTTTGTGGGTTTTTTTTAGTCTCTTTTTCAGTAACTTTTGTCTTTTCGTGTCTTTGTGTAGTGATTTAAATCTTTTAGTGTCTCTTGGCCTCTCTTGTGGTTTTGCATGCTTTCGTCACGTGTTGTGGTCATTTTGTTTCTCGTTGTACTTTTGATGTGTCCCTGTGGTTGTTTTGTGTCGCCCTGTTATCTCTTGGTGTCTCTTGTGTTTTCGTCACTTGTTGTGGTCAGCAAGTCTAAACCTCGTTCATGACTTTATTTAGACTGATGGGTATCTGCAGCGGTGAAGTCTTGCTGTTTGTTTTCTGTGTTTCATTGACCGTCGTAAAGATAATAAAGGAGATCCTTCTGGTTTCAGAATATCTCAGTCACTAGGTCAAGTTGGGTTGTGTCTTTACAACCTGCTTTACTGGCTCCACAGCGTCTCTGTGGTTGAATAAAACAAACTCTGGCTATCTGTCAGCAGATTTTCTCCCGACAATCATTCAGACTCGTGTTAAACATCACATGGCTGCAGTTTCACTCAGTCACGTTCATCCCAGCTTCTCCTTTCTCAAAGTCTTCCTCTTAACTCTGAAGATTCCTTTTTCTGCAGCAGCTTGTTTGCTACAAGGAAGAAAATAATTATAGAATCTGTAATGACATTTTTAATCTTATTTTCTTGTTTCAAAAAACTCTTAGATCGTGCAGACAGTTGGCACCAACAGGATAAACTGGAATTTCCAGTGTAGCTGCTCTGACAGTTTATATCCAGGATCTGTGTGTCTGATTATGAAAAAAATTACTTTAGATTCTAAGTAAACTGACAGTTTTTCTGGTGTTGAATTTTTTATTTTTTTGTATCATGTCTCACATGAAACTTGGGAGAATATTTCTGGGTGTTTTTGTTGTTGCAGCTTCTGCCTCATCTTTCTCTGTAACATGAAGTCCTGCACCTCCGTGGAAACAGAACAACCATGAAGGAGGAGAGAGAACTCAGAAATGTCTTCTGTCACTACGACACAGTTAGAATGAGAGAAATCAGAAGAAAGAACAAAAGTTTAATTTATTAGATTTTTATTATTATTATTTTAAATGGACAAAAACTGCAACCAACATGTCCAATATGTTTCCAAGGTGTTACAACACAGAAGAAAATACAGAAGTAGATGTTTGACTATTTGTATTTTCAGTGTGTTTCCAGACTCGTCTCCTCTCTGCTCTGCCTGCAGCTCAGCTGGAAAGACAGCTTGTGTGTGTTGAGCTGAGTCAGTCATGACTTCACTGTTGTGTTGAGGAGCTCAGAATTTTCAGTTTTTTTAGAATCTGATCAGAACAAACTTTCATTTTTGGTGAATTTTTAATCGGATTCAGCTTTAATGGCCAAGTATGTACACAACATACATGGAAATTGGTTCTGGCTGTTGGTGTTGCCGTAGCAATTGGCAAGGAAAAGAATAAACATAAAGTAAAATAACTATTGAAAGAAAAAATAATAAAATAAGATCAATATATACAAGAATATACACATCTAGCAGAAAATAATATATGTACAGTGGTGCAAAAAAAAAGGCAGTGCAAATAAAAGGCCTAATACGAAAACATGAAGAGAAACAGCTTGAGGTGATCGATGCTCCATCAAGCTGCAGCTCTGAAGACAAACTGAAAACCCAGTTCAGATGACTGATGGAGTTCTAACTCTGTGTCTCTCCTCAGCCATGTCTCTGGCCGAGCCAGCGTCGGACTCGGCGCCGTTCTTCTCCTCGGACAGTGAAGCCGAAGGTCCGGATGATCAGCCGGCGGTTCAGCCGGAGGAGTCGGCGAGCGGAGTGTCCAAAGTGCGAGCTCTGCTCACCGTCCTCATCCTCTGTTACATCAACCTGCTCAACTACATGGACCGATTCACCGTCGCAGGTAGCACGCACCCGAACACAGATACTCCTGGGACATTTTATACTTTTAGCATTTTGTTAAACAAAAACAGACAAAAAAACTTTATTGTTTTTAATGTATTTAACCAGGAAACATCTAACTGGGATTAACAATCTCTTTTATAAGATCAGCCAAAACAGGCAGCGTGAACAGTGATGATGAAAGTACATAAAACTGTAGCTCTGCATGAAGTCAGGAGAAGTGCTCCTGTCTGCTGGTCAAAGTGAAAAAGGACAGAAGTAGATGCAAAACAACCACATAGAGACACAGAAAGAAAAAAATACAAATTACCTGTAGCTGAAAGCTGATTGAATTTTACCAGTTGTAAATATTTTAATCTTAGTATTAATATCTAGAATTATCCAACCTCCAACACTTTGTTGAAATGAGTGTTTTTAAACGTTTAATTTAAAGTAAAGTTTTTGAAATCTGTCACAGAACAATTTTAACTCACATTTAGTAATCAGTTTTAAAAATTATTATACGATACTTGGAAAAGGTTGAATATTGGATTCAGTGTTGAAGTCATTCAGTTTTCCGTCCAGCATGCGTTGGAAGTTGTTGGTCGTCATTCTGTCCTTCACTGTGTTTCATCAATGAGACGGTGTTGTGTAGTTTTATATCGTGTGTTAAAAGAGAATCTGTGGCTGCTAATCCAGTGTTTCCAGTTTCTCTTCTCCAAACGACTCTCAGGATCTTAGTCCCATTTTCGTTCCTCTTCCAACACTGAGATATGAACTCTGATAACCCCACTTGTTTGTTTGTTTGTTTGTTTGTTTGTTCTGCACACGTTCATTTAAAGCCGACTCTTGTACTGATTGTGGACGTTTGCATCTCTTTTTGTGTTCTTGTGTCACTTCATGATCGTTTCCTGTCTCTGTGATTCAGATTCAGATCTGGTTGCTTTAAACTGTCCGTCATGTGTTTGTAATGTTGCTTCTGTTATTCTCACCATGAGCTCGTCTGTTCATCAGTTTTTACATGAATCTAATCGTCGTGTCCACGCTGATGTTCTCAATGTGTCTTTTTTTTTTTTTTTAAAGACAAAAAAGCAACAAACAAAATGTTTTAATGTCACTCCTGTTTCCTCCTGCAGGTGTTCTCCCTGATATCGAGCACTACTTTGGGATTGATGATTCAAAATCTGGTCTCCTCCAAACAGGTAAGAAGATCCGACTGATTAACTAACCAGAGGAGGTTAAGTAAACACCCAACAGTGATCCTGGATTTAGGAAAAATATTTACCAGACATAGGGAATTAGAAGTAAAATCCAGCCTCTAATGTAAACCAGCTCAGAATAAAGGTCTGTAGTTGAGATAAATCAACGTCCTGTGCATTATTTGAGGAAATACAGTAAGAAATTAGAATTTTTCACTGTGAAAAATCCTGTTTTTTGAGGTAAATGAGGACGATGCATTCCAATTTACACTTGAATTGACAGAAAATGTATTCCATAAGAGACACGAAGCACCAGAATGAGTTTCAAAAAAGGCGTAAATGTAAAGATGCAACTGAAAAAGACGAAATGGTGTCAAAGTCAAATTAATGTGACGCAAAACAGCCACAAAAAGATGCAAAATGATCACTAAAAGTGGTAAAATGACTAAAAATGACCCAAATGTGACGTAAAACAACCAGAAAAAAATGTATACTGGCCACAAAAAGATGTGAAATGACAACAAAAATATGCAAAATTTCCAGGATAAGATGCAAAACACCTCAATAATAAGTAAAGCAAAATATGAAAAAGAACAGCCACGGGAAATTAAAAAAAAATAAAGCAACAACTACAGAATATGGTACAAAACGATCATAAAGAGTTACAGAATAATCACAAGAAAACAAAATGGCTGCAGAGACACACACACGGACCAGAACAAGACACGTCACCCAAATGTGATGCTAAATGATTAAAAAAAAAAAAAAACATGATGCAAACATTCAGAGTTGCACAATAATCCAAATGATTCATAGAATACTGAAAATTGGACTAAAACAAACTCCTCCTGCACTGACACCAACACGGCCGTCGTCCCGTCAGATTTTCAAGCCTTTTCATTTCCTGCTTTTTAAAACTGTGTGATGTTGACTTCTCAGAACATTTCCCTGTTTGTTCCTCTGCAGTTTTCATCTGCAGCTACATGTTTCTGGCGCCGTTCTTCGGTTACCTCGGCGACAGGTACAACAGGAAGTTCATCATGAGTTTCGGCATCACGTTCTGGTCGTTAGTGACGCTGGCCAGCTCCTACACACCCAAAGAGGTGAGTTTACTTCATTTGGTTTGTTTCCATTTAAAAAAATATCTTTCCTGCAGCGATTTACTAACAAGACAAAATGCAGTCATTAGATAGTTGTCTGAAATCGAGTTAAGACCTGGAACCTTTTTACTTTATTACATTTTGTTAATATAAAAACATCAGTTCTGAATTAGTGAAAAATGTCTCTGAATACGAGAATCTGTCAGTATGTGTCAAGACCCAGAATGAGACCAAAGACAAGATAAAACGACCATAAAGTGACAAAATGGCTGCAAAGACAACCAATGTGTGACACAAAACAACCAGAAAATGATGCAAAACGATCAAAAAAAGATGCAAAAAGAGCAAAATGTGATGTAACACAACTGCAGAAATATGCAACATGACCACAAACAACATAAACCAACCATAAGGTGGTACAAAGTGACCACAGAAAGGCAGAGATGGCCACAAAGACGAGCAGTATCACCAAAATGAGACACAATTTGCAAAGTGTGACATAACAACCAAAATGTGACAAAAAAAAAACAAACACAAAAAGTTTAAAATCAATTAAAATGTGTCACAAAGATGTAAAACAACCAAAACATGACACAACATGGAAATGGATTCAGCGGGGTCGTGACTGATCAGAGACATTGGTGATTGTGAGTCTTTGTGTTGCTGATGATGTTAATTGTGAGTGTTTGTGTTGCTGCAGCACTTCTGGGCTCTGCTGCTGACCCGAGGTTTGGTCGGAGTCGGAGAAGCCAGCTACTCCACCATCGCTCCAACCATCATCGCCGACCTCTACGTCAAAGGGAAGAGGACCAACATGCTCTCCGTCTTCTACTTCGCCATTCCTGTCGGCAGGTAGAGTCACAAAGACACAACATCTGAAGAATTCAATCAAACTGATGAATAGTTTATTACTGAAGTGTTAACAAGTGTCAGAAACATGAAGAAATACAACAAGAAGTCAAAATTATATAGAATTCAGTCATAAACAGAGGTAAAGACAGAATATGAAAATAAGGTGAATTAGACTAATTAATTGGTACATTTAATAATCCAGGTTAATTTAATTCAGGTTTAATTACGAGTCGGTTCATTTTCAGTTTACTAGGATTTGGAGGTGACCAGACTGTTTATTAGGCTGCTGGATTTTGTCAGAGCTGAAAATGATTTTTATTATCAGTCAACTTATTTATTTGATTAACTCATTAGTCTATTTGTTAAAAATGTGAAAACAAACACCCATGATAACTTCACAGATGTAAAAATGTCCCAAATTTTTATGTTTTCAGTGTTACATAATCAAAAATATTCCAATGTTATTCTCTAATCTTTTAAACGTAGTTGGATCTTTTTTGGGCAGTTTTTTTTCTGAAAAAATTTATTTTAGCAAGACGCTCAAAACTACAAACATTCAGCTCACAATGACGTATAATCAAAAAACAGAAAAATCAGATTTTTTTTTTTGTCTTGCTTTGTTTGAAAAATACTAAAACTGCTCATCTGTTACTAAAAATAATATTGTTCAGTGTTGTTCAATATTATTTTAAACTACTTTCTTACTTCTCACAGACAGATTTTAAAAAATATCCAGTTTGCACCAATGTTTAACCAAAAAACAGCAAAATCTGCCTCTTTTTTTTTTCATTTTTCACTCGAGAAATGATTATAACTGCTAACCTCTTATCCAAATACTGTGGGTTTTTTTTTAACCTTTTCATCAGCCAAACAGCAAAACATGACATTTGCAAAAATATGAACCAACAAAACCCCAGAAAATCCGGCCTTTCTAAAGCACTGACATCTGCACACATTTGGATTTTTGTTCCCTATTTTTACCTTTTTTATAAATGACTGTAGTGACAAATTCTTTTTTTCCAGATTTTGCGAATCAAATAGTAATCTCAGCTTTACATTATTTACGTTGTGTTGCATTTCAAACGTGTGTGAAGGAGAATCCCTGACAGCTTCCTCTTTATCTTGTCAGTGGTCTCGGCTACATCGTGGGCTCACAAGTCAGTAACGTAGCAAAGGACTGGCACTGGGCTCTGAGGGTGAGTTTTTATTTCCTGAAATCATCTTTCGTTCATCGTTTCTGTGTTTTGTTTTTTTGTCCTCCGATGATGTTCAGAGTTTCGTTCTGCCTCCAGGTGACTCCGGGCTTGGGGCTGATCGCTGTGCTGCTGCTGCTGTTTGTGGTCCAGGAACCAAAAAGAGGCGCCATCGAGGCTCGACCCGAACATCAGCTTCACCAGACCAGCTGGCTGGTGGACCTGCAGGCCTTGAGCAAGAAGTAGGTCAACAAAAGACAGGAAGTCAGGTTTAGTCATGAAGTGTAGAGCATGAAAACCATCAGCAGGTATTGTCTGAAAGCACAAAACCTCACAGTCTGGGTACTAAAGTAGAAACAGTCTTCCTGTCGAATACCAAAAAAACAAGAAATTGGGTCAATTTTTCAGTTTTCTCAATGTTCATCACCACAGAACATAAACTGTAACAAAGTGTGCACAGCGCTTTTGTTTTGTCTGTTCAAGAACGACAATGAAAAACAGAAACAGGCCCTTTTTTTGTTCTTGTTTTGCTTTTTCTGTTGACCCCATTTGTCATTTTTCTCTTTTAAACCAAAAACTAAAGGGAGGGAAAAAAAGAAACGGAAAACAGGTCACTTTTTGTTTCCCATTTAAAACTAAAAACAAACCAAAAACATTTCTAGCCCGCTCAAAAAGATGCACATTTGTCTCCAACTGCAATCATTTCTCCATGAGTTCTAGTTTTTATTGCCTTTCACATTTTTATTACAGAACAAACACGTCACACATTAAAAACTCTCAGTTCCACAGCTTTGCAGCACATTTGCGATGAAGCCTTTCATTTTTTTTCCCCATGCAGCCGCAGCTTCGTGTTGTCCACCTTCGGCTTCACGGCGGTGGCCTTTGTGACGGGATCTCTGGCTCTCTGGGCTCCGACCTTCCTCTTCAGAGCTGCCGTCTTCGCTGGAGAGCGAGCTCCCTGTTTGGAGGCTCACTGCGCCTCCTCCGACAGGTAACACACCTGAGAATTCACTTATCCATAAGTGACGGAGGACAACTGCAACTGATGCTGTGTTTTCCTTCCTGCAGTCTGATTTTTGGGGCCATCACCTGCGTCACAGGTGTTCTGGGCGTGGCCAGCGGCGTCCAGGTGAGTCGGCAGCTGAGGAAGAGGACGCCGCGAGCCGACCCGCTGGTCTGCGCCGCCGGCCTGCTGCTGTCGGCGCCGTTCCTCTACCTGGCCATCGTGTTCGCTCAGGCGAGCACCATCGCCACATACGTGAGTCTTAACCTGCCGTCGCCACAGCTGGAGCCTGGAAATGTAGGAAAGCTACAGACGAAACTAACGGTGCAAAATAGTGATGATCAGACCAGACAGAAAGTTTGTTTTAAAAACCTCTCGGAACCAATGGCTGCTTCAGGAGAAGGGAAGCTCTTTGTTATTGTGTTACATTGAGGACATCCCAATGAAGAGTTTTCTAGATAATACGAGGTGTGACAGAAAAGTTCCAGGACTGGTGTCACAACAGATTTGAGTTTCCCCCTTCAGACGATCAACCAGCACGTCTAGAAAGAGATCCTGCGGCGTTTGCTTCGTCCAGAAGAGGCGAGAGTTGTGGCAGAACGAGTCGTGGCTGCTTCACCATGACAACACGTCTGCTCACAATGTCCTGAGCATCCCACAGTTCCTGGCTGAGAAGAACATCTCTGTGCTGGTGCAACCTCCCTACTCACCCCACCTGGCTCTGTGGGGTTTTTTCCTCTTCCCCAAGCTCAAGGGGGTCATCAAGGGGACCCGTTTAGAAGACGTGGACGACATCAAGATGGCTGTGATGACGGAGCTGCAGAGGATCCCAGAAGAATCCTTCCAGGAGTGCATGGCGGCGTGAAGAGAAGGCTGGGGAAGTGTGTTAGACTCCAGGGGGATTACTTGGAAGGAGAAAACTAATAGTTTGGATTTGAAATCTATCTGTTGTGACACCAGTCCTGGAACTTTTCTGACACACCTCATCTTTCAAGTATTGTAGATCAGCTGTACTACCTGGTTGTTCCATCAGGTGGAACCTCTCACTGTCTAATACCGTAGAAACCAGAGGAGGCCTCACTCACACTACAGGCAGTTCATGATGGCAAGCAGAGAGCATTGTGGGAGTTCAGCTAGCAGTGGACACCATGACAAAAACTTCTGTGGAGGTTACTGACCTCCAACCAGAGCGCAGTTGTTAAGTCAAACTGGGATCAGCTAGGATGATTTATCAGCTTCCAATGTTGCTGCATTTATTATAAAATTATCCAAATTGACACCACCTGTTGTGTCAACAGAGCATCAGGTTTTGATTTATGCCGGTTACTTTAAAAATGGCTCAATGTCTGTTCGTCTCTTCAGATCTTCATCTTCCTCGGGGAGACGTTTCTGTCCATGAACTGGGCCATCGTAGCTGATATTCTACTGGTAGGAAACCTGCTTTCATTTCCATCACAGCATCTGTTTTGTTGATTTCAGACTTTACTTTTAGACTCAAGACTGTTTTTCTTTTCTTTTCTTATTTTTCTGCAGTATGTTGTTGTTCCGACCCGCCGATCCACCGCTGAGGCTCTGCAGATCGTCGTGTCTCATCTGCTGGGAGATGCAGGAAGTCCATATCTGATCGGAGTGGTGCGTCCACACAAACACTTTTACACAAACATTTACCATCTAAGGAAGCAAGTCCCAGTGAGCTTATCAAACTGGTTGTCAGCCTGCAGGTAGTTACAAGAGACGGAGCAAAAATAAACCTGACAACCAGGTGTTAGAAGGTTCAAAGGAAAACTAGATTTAATATCAGGAAAACTAACGTGAGTGAAAAACAAAGACTCTTAGTAAAAAATAAATAAATAAAAAAATCATTAATCACAGAGTTCACAAATTAATTTAATCCGAATTTATCAGAAAAAACAAAAACAGGGTTTAAATCAAAGCGATTTGATTGGCCGAGTAGGAACTACACAGAGTACTAATTGGTTAATTGATATTTACCAGACTGACACTGACCTACTGTCTTGTGTTTATGGGTCAGTTCAGACAGAATTAAATACATACACGGCTTCATTTCAGTTCAGAGTTTACGTGTTTGTTATTAAAGCTAAATTCTGTAGAATATTATGGTGGAATTTTGTGACCTGGGAATTTTTCTCTTTGTACCCTAAAAACATTGCTGGGAAACCAAACAAAGGGTTTGATATGTCCAGAAATATAACTACTACAGACAGTAGTTTGAATTAAATGGCTCCAGCAGAGGGTTAGGTGTTACTCATCAGTCCAGCAGCAGCCTTTTGACGATAGTTTTCTGTCCTTTATGTCTACAGAACAGAAAAGGTCTCAGGTTTAGTTCAACATCATGTAAACGTCCTTAAATCCTCGTCTCCCCTCTCAGGTCTCCGACTCTCTGAGGAAAAACGACTCGTTCCTCTGGCAGTTCCGCTCCCTGCAGCTCTCCCTGCTGCTCTGCTCCTTCGTGGCCGTGGTGGGCGGAGCTTTCTTCCTCGCCACGGCGCTCTTCATCGAACAAGACCGAAACCGAGCCGAGAACTACGTCCTCACAGGTGAGTCCCGTCAGCAGAGAGTTTCGCTTTAATGATCTTTTGCCATCCTGAGGTTTTTGTCGCCTAAAATACAGATATTTGTGAAATTTTGGCTTCATATAGAAAATACTTGCAGAGACGATTTTGTTCTATAAATTATCCATCTATTAAAGATTAAACCTGAAATGTTCTCTGTTATTTCTCATCATGACACTGATTTATAATCTGTAGTCTTGGACAAGCTGATCAACTGTTTATGGGTGAAAGTTGAAATATGAAGAAAAAAAACTGTCGTGAAAAGTTCCATCTTTGACACATTAACAAAAACACAGATTCACATGTAGCTGCATGTCACAATAACACAAAACTAAACCTAAAGAATAGTTTTAATATGAAACGATTAGTCGAGAACCATTTTGAAACTCCTACGTGGATTAAACTGTCAATACTTTTAGTTTTGTGCTACAACTCGTCAGAGCAGCTGTGGCTCAGCTGGGAGAGCAGGTTGTCCTCCAATCGTAAGGCGGTTCGATCCCTCGTCCCTCCACAGACAAAGTGTCCTTCATTCACACACATTCATACACCAATGGTGACAGAGCTGCCATGCAAGATGCTGCCTGCTATTGGGAACAACCTCAGGTTCAGTGTCTTGCCCAAAAACACTTCCTCTGTGGAGGGGCGGGGGATCGAACCGCCAACCTTGTGATTGGAGGACAACCTGCTCTACCAGCCGAGCCACAGCCGCTAAAGATAATGTGTCAAAGATGGAACGTTTCCTCATGGTTCCAGTTTTGTTTTCATGTTTCATCTCACTCATAATCAGAGATTATTTGATCTATTTGTCCAGTATTACAGACGGTGAATCAAAGACATGATGAGAAATTCAGGTTTTTGTCTTTAATCGTTCCTGATGTACTGTTGTTCAAACGATCTTAAATTTTAATGTGCAGATAACTTGCTGAAAGTGAGTCGACAGGCATTTAAAATAAATAAATAAAACATCTCTGATGGTATTTGACATATTAAACTAAAAATTCAGATAGTATTTTAAATATTTGTGTTTTTTTAATTGGGGGGGAAAAAAAGTTTATAAACTGGAATTAGTTTTTTGCTCCCGTGATATTTTTGTCTTCAGCTGAATAATTGAACTTTGTTGTCTTTGTGTTTTCAGACGACGAGCCGATCGTGGTTCCTAAAAGCGGCCGGTCGACTCGGGTTCCTGTGTCCAGCGTCCTGATCTGACAAACCTGACGGAGGCTCTTCTCTCAGCTGTGGTTCTTCTATTTAATCTTCACGACTGCTGGGCAGAAACGCTTTTATTTACAGGATTTGTGACTCTTTTTTTTTTTTTTTTTAAGAACTTCTCCGGGAACATTTTTGAGAGCACTTTGTTTGGCCTCCAGATGTTGTTTTTGCTCGACACGAGGCTCGTCGGTGTTTTCAGAGCTGATATGACGTCGAGATCGAGCTCTAAAGACTCCCAGCATCGACAGAAGAAGCTCTGAGGATTAAATTCCACCGTTTATCCAGGACAGAAATGACCTGATGCTTCTCTTTAAAGCAACTGATCCAGGATCAGAGACGATTATCTGCAGTTTAACCTCAACCAAGTACAGATCTTAACTCATTTTATATCCAGGAGGAGCTTTAATAGTCAGTTTTCATAACTTCCTTTGTAAATGTTTGAGCTCATTTTAATATGAACACTAATCTTCCTGCAGCAGAAAACCTCAGTTTCCTTTTCATCCATTTCACTCATTAACACCGTTTGACTGTTCAGTTTTGAAAGATTTTCACTGTTTCTGGGTTGTTTGTTTCATCGGAGCGGGTACATTTCCAACTGCAGAAGATTACTTTGTTATTTTAAAGAAGAAAAAAAAAACCCATAAAACTCTCAATCGAATGTTAATCTCAAATTATTTTAGCAAAAACCTCTTTTTTGTGATTTATTAAATGATAAAGTACTTGTCACATGTTTGTGTTTGTTTGGACTTCATGAATTTAAATATGCTACGTTTCAAGGTTCAAAGTTTAGATGGAAAGTTGAGATTTGAAGGATTCGTAGACGCCCTATCTCATAATTACCAGATGAGGAAAGGTGCCGCATTGGCCACTGCTTCACTCAGAAACCTGCACACCCACGAAGAGGTAAAAGCATATATGTGATACACGGCATCTTGTCTAGAGTAGAATTGAAAACACAGAGAGGACAGACGTTTCCCCTCTTATCTCCTTTTTATCTCGTAATTCCGAGATCCGGATGTCTAATGTCTATTTTTCTCTGAATGCAATGCGCTTCCGTAGATTCACGAGGAGACAATAGTTTATTTTTTTTAGCAGGGACACTAGCAGCAGACAAATCCATCAGACTCAGACTGTGGTTTAATTTTTTTATTTACTAATAACAAATTGCTGAAATAAAAAATGATAGCAAACTATATTTTTATTATAATAAATATTAAATCAATAACTTAAAGGATTCTTCAGACCACAGAATTAAAAAATAAATG